GACGCGCGCGCACACACACACACACACACACACACACACACACACACACACACACAAAACACCTGCGGGGTGGCCGGAGCGGCAAAGCAGGGGGGAAAAAAAAAACCCTGCAGGGCGGCCGAAGCCAGGATGCAGGCAGACTCCCTGTGCTGCAGACGTGCAGCGGAGTGCGCGCCCGGTCTATCGGGGGGCAGGAGGGAGCGGGGGGGAGAGAGAGAAGTGGGGCAGCCAGGGCTTCAGCGGGGCGCTCGCGATGCGGCCCCTCCCACTGCGCCGCCTGCCTCCTACAGGGCGGCCAGAGCAGCAAACCAAAAAGAAAAAAAAAAAGGGCAGCCGGAATGCCGCCCCTTGGAATCTGCCGCCTCAAGCACGAGCTTGCTCGACTGGTGCCTGGAGCTGGCCCTTCCTCCAGTCTATCTCTCCAAAGATGCACCTGACAGATTTGGAAATGCAGACCCCATGGCTTCTAATAACAGAGAGGCCAGGAAAGCCTTACCCAGTGAGGTCACATTATCATAATTCTCCTCCATGACTTCCCTGTACAGGGCTCTCTGACCAGGGTCCAGCAGGGCCCCCTGCCCCTCGGTGAAATACACAGCCACATCCTCGAAGGTCACCGGCATCTGAAACAACAAATTTTCCCTACTCAGCACCTGCTGACACAGCCACAATCCCACTATTCATGGGAAGGAAGAAAGGAAGGAAGCAAGCAAGCCAGCTCACCGGGGGGAGGGGGGAAGGGGGGGGGAACAGAGGAGCAGAATCTCACCCCCACCCTCAGGGCCGGCTCCAGGCACCAGCTTGTCAAGCAGGTGGTTGGGGCGGCTACTCCGGAGAGGAGCGGCACGTCCAGCTATTCAGCAGCAATTCGACAGACAGTCCCTCACTCCGGCTCAGAGCGAAGGACCTCCCGCCGAATTGCTGCCGCAGATCGCGATCGCGGCTTTTTTTTTTTTTTGGCTGCTTGAGGCAGCCAAAACCCTGGAGTCGGCCCTGCCCATCCTGCTCAGAGCAGCCAGGAAGCTTCAGGGAGTGGCAAGAAAGTGAGAGCTCCATGTCCCTCCCAGCAAACAGAGGAGGGCAGCGTTTTCTCATTTACCACAAATCTACTAGGCACAGGCTGATGTAGGAAGCAGAGCTCTGGGCAGGGGACAGAGACAGGAATCCCAGCACCCTCCCTTTGTATTCCCCGCAGTCTCTACCTAGTGGGTTCAGGCTCCAGCACTGTGGTCTGTTTTCCCAGCCCTGTCCAGGGGGGTGGGGCTGAGGAGACGGTTCCTGTTTCAGAAATGGGGGAATGTTCGCCTCCCAATAAGCCTGTTCATAAATCAGGCCTTAGCCTGAGCAAGTCTCAGTGGGTTTTTCAGACCCTATCCTCCTCCCTACCTGACCCTGTGTATTTTTTTTTGGCCTTCCTAATTATATGTTTATACTTCATTTGCCAGAGTTTATGCTCCTTTCTATTTTCCTCAATAGGATTTAACTTCCACTTTTTAAAGGATGTCTTTTTGCCTCTCACTGCTTCTTTTACTTTGTTGTTTAGCCATGGTGGCACTTTTTATTGTGTCTTTTTAATTTGGGGTACACATTTAAGTTGAGCCTCTATTATGGTATCTTTAAAAAGTGTCAATGCAGCTTTCAGGGATTTGACTTGTGGCACATACCTTTTAATTTCTGTTTAGCTAACTTCCTCATTTTTTGTATAGTTCCCCTTTCTGAAATTAAATGCTACCACGTGGGGTGCTGTGGTGTTTTCCCCCTCACAGAGATGTTAAATTTAATTATATTATGGTCACTATTACTAGACGGTCCAACTATATTCACCTCTTGGACCAGATCCTCTGCTCCACTGAGGACTGTATCAAGAATTGCCTCTCCTCTTGTGGGTTCCAGGACTAGCTGCTCCAAGAAGTAGTTATTCAAGGTGTCAAGAAACTTTATCTCTGCATCCCATCCTGAGGTGACATGTACCCAATCAATATGGGGATAGTTGAAATCCCCCATTATTATTGAGTTTTTTATTTTTGTAGCCTCTCATCTCCCTGAGCATTTCACAGTCACTATCACCATCCTGGTCAGGCGGTCCCTACTACTGTATTCTTGTTATTCAAGCATGGAATTACTAGATTCTATGATACAGTTTGGTTCATTTAAGATTTGTATTTCATTTGATTCTACGCTTTCTTTCACATATAATGCCACTCCCCCACTAGCACAACCTGTTCTGATCTTCCGATATATTTTGTACCCTGTATTACTGTGTCTCATTGATTATCCTCATTCTATCAAGTTTCTGTGATACCTACTATATCAATATCCTCATTTAATACCAGGCACTCAAGTTCACTCATCTTATTATTTAGACTTCTAGCATTTGCACATAAGCACTTAAAACAATTGTCACTTTTTAGCTGTCTGCCATGACATGGTGTAATTGAATGGGCCTTTTTTTTCCATTTGACTGTTTCTCATCAGATCCTTCCCGTATTTTATCATCCTCCATCCTCTCCTCCTTCCTAGGACATAGGGAATCTCCATTAATAGATCCTCCCCTAAGGGATGTCTCTGTCTGAACCACGTGCTCCTCCACACCTGTCAGCTTTCCCCCAGCTCTTGGTTTAAAAACTGCTCTATGACCTTTTTAATTGTAAGTGCCAGCAATCTGGTTCTATTTTGGTTTAGGTGGCGCATATCCTTCCTGTATAGGTTCCCCCTTTCCCAAAAGGTTCCTCACTTCCTAATAAATCTAAACCCCTCTTCCCTAAACCATCGTCTCATCCACACATTGAGTCCCTGTAGTTTTGCCTGTCTACCTGGCCCTGTGCATGGAACTGGAAGAATTTCAGAGAACACTACCATGGAGGTCCTGTACTTCAATCTCTTACCTAGCAGCCTGAATTTGGCATCCAGGACCTCTCTCCTGTCCTTCCCTATGTCATTGGTACCTACATGTACCACGACCACCGGCTCCGCCCCAGAACTACACATAAGTCTGTCTAGATGTCTTGAGAGAGACACGGTGGGCAAGGTAATATCTTTTACTGGACCAACTTCTGCTGGGGAAAGAGATACGCATTTGAGCTACATAGAGCTCTTCTTCAGGTCTGGGAAATGTACTCAGAGTGTCACAACAAATACAAAATGTTTAGCATTAGTAGGTAACACATATTTCAAGGGACCATTCAAGGAGAAATTGGTCCAATAAAAGATATTATCTCACCCACCTTGTATTTTTAATATACTGGGACTGACATGGCTTCAGCAACACTGTATTAAATATGAAATGGCAGAACTACTAACTGTGGTATGAATCTTTTGCTAAAATCAGCATCTGTAGCAGAAGACTGGACGATAGCTAACATAATCTCCAGAGGCAATCCTGGCAATTACAGGCCAGTAAAACTAACTTCAGTACCAAACAAATTGGTTGAAAGTATAGTAAAGAACAGAAATATCAGAAACATATATAAACATTATATGCTGGAGAACAGTCAACATAGCTTCTTCAGGCCAGAGAGAGGCAGACACTAGCCTCTTCTCTGTCTGGTGGCAGCAGCTAATGACTGAGTATCCCTGGTCTCCTCCAGCAGTCCCAGGGACAGCCAGGCAGATGTGATCTCATTCGCCCATTCGGATCTATCCCCTGCTGTTCTGGCAGTGACTCTGAGCCCTGAATCCTGCTCAGAAATCCAAGAGAGGCCCTGGTCCGTCCTGCCACTCCAGACAGTCCCAGTCAGGAACCAGAGCCCAGAAATCATGAGTTTGGCTTAAGAAAATAATGCAATCGTGTGTCTGTTGGGGGCAAGTTCCGTGGGGATATTTGCCTTGTAGCTTTGGAGCCCTTAGGGCTTAGTCCCCTGCGGGCCCCCCCCCCGCGTGACCATTTCCTCTAAAAACAAAATCCCGCGCTGGCTGCTGGGCGGGGCAGCTCCCCCCTCCCCGCCCTGTGTGCTGGGGGAGCTGCCATTGAGATCCATCTCTCAGGATCGCTCTCCTTTATCACTAGCCGCTCTCCCCATTCAGCCTCCGCTTGCACCGCCGTTCTCCCTCCAGCCTCACCCCCATCCCCACATATTCCTTCTATCCCAGCCCTGTTCCTTCCCGCCCCAGGATTCTCCTCCCGCACCCCGAGTCTCCGGCATTGCCTCATCCTCCCTGCTGCGCAACCACTGCCCCCCTACTCCCATTCCGCCCCCTGCATCCCTGTTCAGCCCCTTCTACCCCCTCACACATCCCATTTCATCCCTCAATCCCCTCCTGCCCACACACCCCCTGCCCCTCTTCAGCCCCTTCCGGCTCCCACCCCCCCCTTTATCCTCCCACGAGTCGCTGTCCCAGCCCTCCCCAGGGCGCGCGCTAGCTTCACCCGCCCTGCAAACAATGGGAGCTGGCGGCAGCTTTCCTGGGCACGGGGCAGGAATCGCAGCCAGCTCCGCTGGGAGCAGCCTGGGGGCAAACCCTCCCCCTGCAGCCAGGTTGGCACCAGGGGGCACCGCTCCCTGCGTCTCTTACCTCCCCTCCAAGCGGTGCCCTCCCTGGGAGCAGGGGCTGGGGCCCGGAAAGGGGGGTCCTGGCCAGGCTGGGGTCTCTGCACTGGGAGAGGCTCCTGGGGAGCACTGGGAATGTTACTGCTCGAGATTCACCTCTCCCGGCTGCAGCCAGGGCTCCGGAGTCCCAGCAGCAGCGGCCGGGGCTCAGGGATCTTGCAATGAGCGTGAGCTCCTCACAACGCCCCAGTCACTGCAGCGAGCGCGATTCACTTCCTGCTGCCCAGCCTGAGTGACCCCAGCGATCGCTCCCAGAGCCGCATCCCAGCTTCTCCTGGGTCCTAGCGAGCAAGGTATTGCACTGCAGTCCCCCTGCCCTAGACCCTGCCTCCTGGGGCCCCATGTCCCCTGGGCACAGGCAGCTTCTCTCAGCATAAAGGGGGCATCATACATAGAAGCCACTGTGTCAATGAGCAGAAAGGAGACGTCAAGATCCCAAGATGAGGGGAGAAGGGGCATTTCCATGGAGACTGGGCATTGTTCCATGGAGTCCCCAGTATTAACAGGGACACATGGGGGTCCTGGTCCTAGACAGGCTGCCCAGGATCGGGAGCAGCAGGAGACAGGTTTCTCGGTAACACTGACTCTGTGTGTGAGTCACTCTGATCACAGACTGGCACAGGGAGCAGTTTGTCAGAGACGGTCTCTTGTCTCCACACCAGGCTCACTTGCTATTAGCCCTGGGCCAGAATTACAAGCTCCGCTCCCTTAACTCGGGCCATGTAGCTGTCAGTGCTTTGCCATCAGGTTCCTCTGATTATTGATAGGGCTGGATTAACCCATCACTGGGTAATAGGCAACACCCCACCATTTCTGCCCCCTGCCAGTCCCCCTCTCCTGGCTGGCTCCCCCATGTGGGCACTGAGAGCAGCTCCCCATGCTGCGCCTGAATCTTGGCAATGAAGCACCAGCTGGTCTGGTTCTGGGGCTGGTGCTCTGAGGACTCTGGATAGGCCCGAATGTCCCACCATGGTTGCAAGAAGGGGAGGGAGGGGAGCATCTGGGGCCAAAATTGACCCAGTGGCATTGTGCCATGTGAGTTGAAACACCAAATTTAGCCTCCCCCCACCCGTAATGGGGCCCGGGCCTGAGACAAACCAGAGTGGGCAGTGGGACAGCCACATGAGAGACAGGCCAGGGAAAACATAGTGTGAGGCACGTGCTGGTGCTTAGGTATGAAATAGGGATCTGTGCACCTAGTCTGAGGCAGCTGGGATCATGCCCAGTACCAGATTTGTAGGCTCTTGGATGATTTAAATGACAGAAATTTAGGTGCATAGGATCTTTAGACACCATCAGAGTTAGGCAACAGCTGAGTGGCGGGGAGGGGTGGGGGGGCAGTTGAGGATTGATGGCGTCTAAATGTCAGATTCAAGTACCTAAAGTGAAAGTAGCAGCTGGGAACCTAAATCTTTTTGTGCATCTAGCCCCTGGTGCCTAACCTGCTTTGGTAACCCCACTAGGCCCCTATCTGCATCCTCAGGTACCTAATACCTTAAAAAATACAACCCTAAGTCATTTTGGGAAAGATGCTTTTGAAAAACTTACCCAAAAGCTAATGGGCTTTAAAAATCAGTTTAATATAACCTGGACCCACAAGCACTAAAATACCTTAATTGGAATAGTATAGGGCTTTGAATGGTATCACTACAAGGCAGGGTCTGACAGTCAGTGCTAAATGTCTGAACAGACCCAATGTTAATGATTATTGCTAAAGCCAGGAACAGATTGACTTTGCTCAGAAAATGTGTTCTGCACTCTAGGGGTAAGTGCTGTAATTCTGGGGGAGAACAATCTGGTTTTTAGACATAACAGAAGGTGAATGAAGTGCAGAGCCTCGTTCTCTCAGCAATTGAGAGATGCTGCCCCCTCCCCCCATCATTCCTATTGGGACGTCACTCATAGCCCTTTAGATTTCAGGATTGCTCCTGATATGTACAAAATCATTACATTGGCTGATCTGCATTTTGAAACTGTAAACTCTTTCCCTGAGGAGCTGTCTCCCATGATATGTATAAACAGTACCTAGCACAATACGGCCGTAGTCTTCTGTGGAATGTCTAGCTGCTGCTGTATTACAAATAATCATGATATTAACTGAGATACAATTATGTTGCAATGAGACAAGAATGAATTTGGATGAAAGTGTGATATGAGGAACAGGCCGAGTATCAACAGAGAGAGACTTCCAAACCTACCAATCTAAACTCCCAGTGTGGCAAGACCTTATTTACAGGTTTAATTTTACTACTACCTATAGCCCCATTGATTTAAATGGGTCTCAGCTAGAATTAACCAGGTGGTAAGGTTGAGAGAGTGGGGATCTTGGGCTGAAACCCAGCTCAGAGACCAGAATCACTTTAGCCATATTATACATATATAAATTTGTGAGTATAGTGGCTGCAGTTGAGGGTATGATAGGGCAGAAGTGAGATTGTATGGGAAACGTCACTGTGTATTTCCATACCAGACCATGTTAGCATTGCTTTTACTGTTAACCTCCACTCTGAATCTGCTGGGTAGTTAATGCAAAACAAACTACACTTGGGAGTGTGAGAAACTAAATTCTACTTTATTATTCCAAAGGATGGACAGACTCCTTTCCCCAGCCCAGCTCAGCATGGTACTTTACATCCCCAACCCAGCACATTGCTGCGCCCAAATCCCTCATACAGCAGCAACAGAGCAACAGTTACAAACTGGTAGAAAAGTGCAGAGAATCCAGGAGAGATGCTGGGACCCAGACACAAAGCAAACACTCCGAGAGCAGGGAATCCAAGGAACTGAGATTAGAGGGGTACAGTGTGGGGTGAGTGGGGAAGACTGTTTGTCATCCCCATGCAGGACACTGGTAGATGGGGAGGGGATCACCAGCTGGGCTGTCAGGCTCCTCATCTCTCTCTGGCCTCTATGATGGGGGTCAGTCTCGATTCAAGGCTGGCTCAGACTAGTTGGCTTCCCCATCTTGTCTCTGCCCAGCCTCGTCCTCTCAGCAATCGGGAGACGCTGTCCCCTCCCCTCATATTTCATCTAGAGACATAATTTGTAGCCCTTTAGATTTCAGGGATGGCTTCACCCAGCACTCACAGGGCAATTCCTGTCTCTCTCTGGCATTGGCACAGCAAGTTCACAGTTCTCAGCATCAGCTCTCTGGTTCTCAAGAGAAAAGTCTGCAGTTTCCCAGCTCTGTTTCCCCACTCTCTCCCACTCCTGACTGCATCTCACATCTCTGCAGGGATCAGGCAGTAACTCCATGTCCCGTTCAGTCTCAGCCTCTCAGAGTGTTAATCTAGCACTCAGCCTCGGTATTCATGCTGAAAGATATTGATAATTTTCATTGTTCAAACACACAAAAATCTCATGACAAAGGGTTAAGAAAGGTTAAAATAAAATAAAAAAGACTCTTCTGGCAAATGATCATTTGTCTCGTAAAGTCCTCAATAAAACTGGGCTACATCCTATCAAACTAAACTAATATCAAACTATGTAACCAAACAGCCTTCAGGAAGAGAGAAAAGCCAACACTACAAGATGGGGCTACAAAACACTTTCAGGTTCATAAAGTGAAAACCCACAGAATCATAACTCCCAAAAGAAGGAAAACAAATATATCCATTTTCCTCTGAACTGGCTAAATCTGCTGTACTCAGCACCTCCTCATTATTTGGTTGCGTCATTTACAAAAGTTTTAGTATTGTCCTAATGCAAAAAAGAAACAAAAACAAACCAAAGCTAAAATCTATCTATCTACAAATGTTCTGGACTTGGCTGGAAAAAGCCAGAAGACACTTTACCAATAGATGGAAACAGGGATTTAAGCTCAAACAGAGCTTTCGGGTTCATTTGAATTCCCCCTCCAAGTATGGGACACTTTCATCTCTAGCCCTCAGGAGTCTGTGTCAGGATCAAAAAAATCAAAGTGCGATTCCAAAGCGTGGAGAGTAAAGAACATTGTGGCAAGTGCCACGCTGGGAGGTGGAGGGTAGAATGGGAGGACGATAAACTCTCCAAGGCTCGGACACAGGTTGCTGTGTTGGGGTGGAGCATGACAGTGAAGGAGGGAGGAGGGAATCCCTCCAACTCATCCAATCACCCTCAAAAAACACAGAATCCAAACACCACATTTTCCTATCTCTGCTCCAGCAATTTTAGAATCTATTTAATTCTGGTCTCTAAGGGAGTCAATGTACAAAAAATAAATGTTTTTGGCATAACCTGGAGCAATGTGAGACTATGTGGGAATGAGACAATCTCTCCCCAAAGGGGGAACTCAATGACTCTAACAATCACTCTGCTAATCGGGGGAATCAGAATATATAAAATGGTTGGGGTCAGTCTAGACTAGGAAAAGTGGGGGAGGGTCAGGGGAGATTTGCTAGCTAATCCCAACCACTTTTCCCACCACAGATAGACCCTCAGAAGCTGATGCTGTGCAGGCAGAGGTGGGATCTCGAAGCCTTTACACCTCCCACAAAAGACGGTGTGGAAATCAGTCTCTCTTAGTGGTGCTTTCTGAATGCAGAGGGGGCAGGGAAAAGGGGCAGAGGGGGTGAGTGATAAGAGGCAGCACCTCTCTTCCCTGTACTCTCCTTTAGAATCATAGAATATCAGAGTTGGAAGGGACCTCAAGAGGTCATCTAGTCCAACCCCCTGCTCAAAGCAGGACCAATTCCCAGCTAAATCATCCCAGCCAGGGCTTTGTCAAGCCGGGCCTTTCTTATCCCATGATCCCTAACACTTGATTTCCTCAGCACCCACTTTTTCCCACATCCACCAGACCCAACCATTTAATCCCCCAGTTTCTTCCCCCAAACCCATCCCTCCTGGTCCCTTCACATTTGCTCCCCCAGAACCCAGCACCTCAGGGGATTTAGGGAGGGGAAGAGCTGCTAGCCCCCAGGGACACTCACCCTACTGGGACCAGCTCTAAGTAAGTGAGGGAGCCCATCCAGGGGTTCCTGAAAAATGGGGGGTGGGGCAGGTGTCCCGAGTGAATGACGAGCCTGGCCCAAGTATCCCTCTCCTAGTCTCCATGGAAAGGACATCGCATCTTGGAAGGGAAGGGAGAGGGGGGAAATTCATTCAGGCTGAATAAGCTTCTGGAGGATTTTCATTCTCCCTTCCCCCGCAGGTTAGCAGGAGGCAGAAAGGCCCATCAGTTCAGCAGCCAGGCCTGCAGCAGGGAGGACGTCGATTTGCTTAGACCAGGCAAAATCAGGCTCATTGATCATCTCTGGGTCAGCGTCTGCTG